GCGAACATATGCGATTATATGGAATTATATATTTTTTTTAATTTTTAATTTTTTTGTCAAAATGATGTGGATGCTTGAGCAACTGAGCATACATGCAAGCTACGCCACTACCGTACCCCGGGGGGTTACTATAACTATCCTTTCGGGTCACGATAACTGTGCCGACAGCACTTGCCAAACCATACCCTGTTCTAACCAGAAAACATTGAAAAACATACCCTGTTCTAAACAGAAATATTGACACGCTCAGAAAATGTATACCCTGTTCTAGACATGCTCGGAAGAAATAACCACCGGGAATGATCCTGTTCTAGACCGTATAAAATAGATGCTGTTCTAGACCGGGGTTCTAGATGGTACATCTTAAACAGTTAAATAAGCGATCCTGTTCTAGACAAATACTTTGTTTAAAAAAAGACCCTGTTCTAACCAGCAGGACATGAAAAAGGGATCCTGTTCTTACCAACAGGGCATGAAAAAGTTACCCTGTTTTGCGGCACACTCGTACCACTAAAAATATAAGTAACCCCCCCCCCCCCCCCCCCCCCGATCATTCCTGGGCTTATAAATACCCGTTTCCATCTAGGTACAAATATTAATTTCATTTTCACATGTTTTGGCAATATCACCACTAAAAGACCTAAAAAGGCTAAGTAATCATAAATCAAAATCCCCATGGGGAGGCTCAAATTCCGGGAAAAGGGGGTCACTGGTTCTTATATTCCAAAGTTCCATAGACAGAAGTGCCACTGTAATGGGTCCGTTTTTGAGCTGTCAGATATAAAAGGGATGCTTATACATTATATATTTATTAATTGAATGATGGTAGTTTCAAGAAAACAATAAAATTCTATTGGAAATGTATGAATTGTTGGTTATATTGAAATTCAAAGCTACACAGCCTCAGGTATGCCAAATATATATATAAGTGACCCCCATGCTTATATATACTTAGGGGTGTGGGCTTAGGGGGAATGTGAGTATCATGTATTGAGCTTTGCTTTCAATTTCCAGTCTTCTTTTTGTTTGTATTTAAAAATATGGAATATATAATGGCACAATCCATGATTTAAAGTTTTGGTTAAATTGAAGGGTTATCTATGGTCGGGAGAGAAAACTGGATGCATTTTGGTTTAAAGAGAATCCATGGCTAAGACTTTCGATGTTTACTGACGCACTCTGTTTCGGAAGTTGTACTGTCTTCGCAGATAAAGGTGCCAAAGACAAACTGTTCATTAATCTGGTTACTGATGGATCAATCTTTTAGATATGTTACTCGTCACGAAAAAGAAATAATTACAAAATTTGCATCTGTTAACGACACTTAATTTTTTGATAGTCTAATCTTTAAATTTTAAGTTTTTTTTTTTTTTTGTATATTGAGTTATACTTGGGTTTTTTTAAACCAATTAAGTATTTTTGCACATGTCTGGAAGGGATGCTGGAATTCTCGGAAGAAGACACGTGATCTTTATACGTACCTGGAGTGTGTTGGGATCGATTTCCTATCTAGGTCTGTACGATCGTAACAAGTCTGGATTCTCTTGCATGGTGATGCATGCATAACAGAAAATGCTTATCTTGCGGGAAAATCCGCTTATAGTTTTGAGATAATAAGTTACCATAAGGTTTTGTTCTCATGGTATGTACCTGCACAGAATGTTTAAAATCGAAATGGATAACTGCTTACACTGTCCAACTCAAAATCACATATCCGGATATATACTGATCATGCGAACTGTTGTCACTTTTCAGCTCGAACGTTAATAACTTAGCTCGGTTTATCCAATAAAATAAAGGCAGGACTTCTTTTAATCGTGTTATTCATTGTTTTCACTCCCCCTTTATTTAGACATTACGGGCGTTGAAACTTTTAAACACAACAAAATAATATTTAAACCAGGAATTATTCCGGGATATGGTCCATTTATATATAAAATTTCTTCTATGAAATTGTTCATGCATTTTGACAATCATTTCGAAAATCACGGGTGTCATTCGGTATATCGAGAAAAATTATCATAAAAGAACAACTAACGGTGGTAAAGCATTGCGATCGGATCGTATAAGATCTGGTAGCGGGTCGTGAATGCAATTAAGTGTAAATCTACTTAAAAATTTGTGAAAAAGGTGGAACAAATCAGAAAAAAAGAAATATGTCTGTCAAAATGAGTCAACTTCCTTAATAACAATGTGCACTACATTAAAGACAAAATGCAGTACTTTTTAGAAAACACAAAAGGCGACACACGATCCTATGATAAAATTGATAATGGAATGATATTAAGGTATCTATATTGGTCACATTTCAATCCGATGATTTTGTGTCGGCAAGTTCTTGTTGTTCAGAAGTCCAATAGTTGTAAATTGCTGATCTTAGGGTTTTTTACCGATCAATTTTGAAGGCAGTTTTCTGTTCGGGTTAAGAATGTTTGGCATATTGTACTGTTCTAGTAATAAAATAGATTGATTGAAGAAGCTTTTTGGATTATTGCTATTTACTGAAATTTGTCTCTTAAGAACTTCCTTTAGTTTAGAGTTGTCGCATGATACAAAGGTGTGTAAGAGTGTTAGTGTCCTTCTGTGGATTTCAACTTCAATGGGTAGAACACCAAGAAGTAGAAAAACAGCCGGAATAAGAAAATGATTGGATGCACCTGAGAGTTTCTTTGTTAGAATTTTTTCCAGCGGTTCCATTTGAGCTCTAGTTATATTGAGGACTTCAATACCATATAAGAGTCTAGGTAATACATAACTTTTGTGTATATGGTAACAGAGATTTTTTGGATTCAGCCCATTAGTTCCATGCAGACCGGAGTTCATTAGAGCATATTTGCAACATGTATATTCTGATGTTGGTTCGCATATCATTAAAGGATGTTAAGCATCACCTTTACTTCGTCTGGGTTTGAGCTTAGTAATGATACATCATCAGCACAAGTTGGTGCTCCACAGTATATTGTGCCTTGTGTAAAGGCTAAGGAATTTTCTTCGAGTTCCATGAGGAGATCTTCTACAAATATTTTGTATAGGTGGGTTGACAGAATACCACCTTGTCTAACTAAATCTTTCACTGAATTATCCCTGCCATTTACAGTGGAGGTGAGTCCATTGTAGAAATCTTTGTTGAGTAACCAGATATCAGGGTGAATTCCACGATCTAATAGCTTGTCAAGAAGAATGGTATGTTGAACGACATCAAAGGCTGATTGAACATGAGACAGGCTTTAAGATTCCCGCTTTAAAATCGACTGGCATTTTTCATTTCTGCAAGATTTTATTCAGAGCAGGTGTAACAGTATGTTGTGCATATTTTAGGTGTTCAGCTCAGATTCCGTGTTCATCGGGTGATTTCCCTGTGTTTAAATTCTCAATTGCCGGTTTTACTTTCCCTGTATATGGGTTGATTGATCAGTGGCATTTTCTAGCTGAATTTTTCCTAAACTATTTTCTCTCTAACTTGGCAGAGTTCCAGGTAAGAGTTGTCATATGAGCTCTCTTTTGGGATACTGAGATCTTCATAATAGTTAGCAAAGACTCGGCTTGGATTTTGGGTAGAGAAGTCAAATTCACCATTAATCTCAATGCCATGCAGATGTTTCCGTACGTGATTTAATTTTAATTCTATTTATAAGTTTGTAGAATAGTTCGGTTGAAAGATTGTCCATCATTTGTTCGTATAATTTTCTCTTGTCAGTAGCATATTGTTGTTTTTGCTGACTACTGAGTTTCTTTTTTTTCTATTTTAAGAATTAACTTGTTTGCTATGATGATTTTCTGACTTGCCTAAAGCTTTGCATGTAGATTATAGTTGTTTACACGGTTTAAGATGTTTTCTAACTTTTGGTAAGGCTTTCCATTTCTGGCCTTTTAGCCTGGTCATTTTTGTTGCAGGAATTGTGATGTTATCTAATGTTGAATTGTCTTTCTTTATGGCATTTAAGTTTTCAGAAATAGTTTCACAATACAGTTGTTCGTCTATCTCATTCCATTTCAGTCTATAGACAGTTTTTATTATTTTGATTGGAATATTTTTCATGCAGTGGAATAGCAATATGTGTAAGCATTGAGACAGGTACATGCGCTGAGACTTTCGAAGGTGTATTTTCCCTAATTTCATAATTATTATAGATATCATTGTTTGTGGTCAATATATAATCAATTTGAGATGAAGCCGATTGCCCTGAATGGTGGGAAAAGTTTTAATCATCTCTCTAATCATCTTTAATTCGTTTCGCATCAGTATAACAGATACAGTGCATGGCCAAAAGTATTCGTCACTTTTCTTTTTTTCGCTATATTTTTCATATAAAACCACATTTTTTCAAGAAAATACTTTGAAGGCATTTATTGTTGGATTTTTACATCCAAGGCATTAACTGAGACGCAGAATTGTCTAAAGTTTATTTATAAAAATAAGAAGATGTGGCAGTATGATTGCCAATGAGACAACTCTTCACCAGAGACCAAATGACATAGAAGTTTACTACTATAGCTCACCGTATGGCATTCAACAATGAGAAAAACCCATGCTCATAATAGTAAGCGAAAGGCTCGACGTTGATTTTGAGTAGCCTGAGAAGTCAAATTCACCATTGATCTTAAAGAACTTGCCTACACAAAGTCATTGTTTATTTGATCATAGTTTTGTCATCAATTAGTTTTGTTTTCTCTTAATATGAACATGTATAATATGTTTTACAATTTAATTTGGTTTGAATATATATAGCAAATTTATGAAAAAAATAATACTTGTGTTTATATCATCAGAAATTGAAAACGCTCCACAACAAAAATATAACCAAATAAAAAATAAGCCTGAGACAATTCTGCATCTATTGGTACCAAGTTGATTAAAATCCTACCAGAAATGTCCCCACAATATTTAAAAAAATGAAGTTCTTATGGCCATGTACTTTTTCCCGCATATTAACGTCGATTCCGTTCAGCATTTGTAAAATGTAGTACTCATTTCCGCTTCCGGATATTTGTGGCGCGTATCTATGGAAATTGTATACAAAAGGGCTGTGCAATGCATTTAAAAATAACTTCAACCCTTTGAATGCCCTCGTACTTGATGTCTAACACAAATTGCACCAATAATACAAAGCCTTTATTGTAATTAATTGGAAAATACAGAATGAAGTAGGGTCCAAACGTTGCATTAAAAACTATTCATAATTCGTATTTCGTCGGCAAGCATATCATCTCGATAACGATCAGATCAATACATCTAGTGTTAATCGTATTGTAAGTATCAATAACAGAATAATTTGTTAGGGAATTAATTATTTAAATACACAGTAAAGAAACCTTTGGAATGTGATTTGAGTTAAAATTGTTGAATGTTGTTTAAACCTCCACACAATTGATAATCTTTGTCTTTTTACATACTTATACTGTACAGTATATATAGTTTGTTCAGATATTAAAACTGATATATTACTGCAGTTCTGGGAGTTAACTCTTCGTGATTAAAGGTAATTTTTCTTACATTTATGTTTTCAACAAATATGATTTGCGTATACATATAACTTTTTTTATTTTGTACATCTCAGTTGGAACAGGAACATATATAATGTTAGATATACTGTTCCCAGGTTGGAACATTCACTTTATTATTAATATGAGGAAGGTGTAACCTGTGGAAGAGGACGGAGTCCGTAAAAATAATTCTTGTGTTACTGAACGTTATTGCAAAGTTAGAACTGCAGTACTGTACAATATACTATTATTAAGTCATTTTACAAATCATGACATTAAAAAATAAATAAAAATCACTATAATCTAAAAAATAATCTGTATCTTTTGAGATAGTGACATAATCTTCATCATTAGCTTCTTATATGAGGGCTTGACAATAAATACATCTTTACCAAATTGCAATATAATTTATTCCCAGCATAATTCCTGTTCAAAAGGTAACTGAAATACGGAAAAGTATATCTATCCAATGTTGGTCCTGTTGTTAAGAATTTTATTTATGACATAATTTTCAATGCAAACAAAGAAACTCTATTTGCTTCACGTAACAATTTTTCTTAATAAAACATTATTTAATTAAAAGAATTTATACCTTAAAGAACAAATTACAACATGGGCTTAGCATTATTCCTTATGCTTCAGATAAGGATGCAAAAATCTGACTGATGAGATGAGTTTCCCAACTCATTTTGTTTGCTATCTTGAAAATCATATGTTGAAAAAAATGAAAACAACAGTCATGACAGTCATAAATTTAATGGTCCAAAGTGCTTTTCTGGATTTACCTTCATCAGGAACACTCAAAGCCGAATATTTGAAAGCCAAGAATGTATAAAACCAAAACAGTTGAAGAGCTACATGTATATAATCTAAAATAATAGCCAAATCCTTCTAAGGCCAACTTTGCCTGAGGGAGTTGAAACCTTAGTTTCTTTATAATTTCAAAATTTATAAACAGGCAAATTTAGAAAGGTTTGTAATTAATCATGTCAGTACCGAAGTACTGACTACTGAGCTGATGATACCATCGGGGACTGATAGTCCACCAGCAGAGGTATCAACCCAGTGCTGTAAAAATTGAAAACAACACGTTATACATGTAAATATAATGCGTCTTCGCGCTTTTCTGGATTAACCTTCAATAGGAACGCTCAAAGCCGAATATTTGAAAGCCAAGAAGTATAAAACAGAAACAGTTGAAGAGCTATGTAATCTAAAATGACCTAAATTAATAGCCAAATCTTCTTAGGCCAACTTTGCCTGAGGGAGTTGAAACCTTAGTTTCTTTATAATTTCAAAATTTATAAACAGGCAAATTTAGAAAGGTTTGTTATTAGAATTAGCATTAGATTTCGTTCCTTTTAACATGTACACAAACAGACTAGATTCAAAATACTCCTCCTCATGTTATTGCCATTATCTGTTTTTGGTATTCAGATATACAAATTGAGGAAATAGTATGACTTACATCATGGCAGTGTCCATCAACAGAACAGAAACAGGGTAATGTGCAAGCCCAACTGTAAGGAAAAAAAGTCAACGCATTTTAGTTCATAAGTAAATTGATTTTTCGTTTTATTGATTTCCTTACTGTTATTGGGGACAAAATCCCCATATAACAAAGAGGTGTTTGTCTGATTTTGTCCTCTTTTACATTATCTTAAATAATAGTTAATCAAAAGTCTCTCCTGTATCTCAGTAACAATGGTGCAAAACTCCCTTTTAGCTTATTTGCACATCTATGGTACATAAGATGACTCTTTTATTTGTAACATATCCTTTTTTAGCTCACCTGGCCCAAAGGGCCAAGTGAGCTTTTCTCACACTTGGCGTCCGTTGTCGTCATCCGTTAACTTTTACAAAAATCTTCTCCTCTGAAACTACTGGACCAAATTTAACCAAACTTGGCCACAATCATCATTGGGGTATCTAGTTTAAAAATGTGACTGATGACCCCGCCTGCCAACCAAGATGGCCGATATGGCTAAAAATAGAACATAAGGGTAAAATGCAAATTTTGTCTATTTTGAAAACCGTTATAAATAGAGAAAATCTGACGGAACAAAAATGTTCAGATTGTTGAGCTCTTCAGATTGTCGATATATGTCAAAACTGTCAGACGACGACTTATAGGACAAATTTTACCATTTTTTTGTCGAGCCTGCGACTTTTGTCGCAGAAAGCTCGACATAGGGATAGTGATCCGGCGGCGGCGTTAGCTAACTTCTTAAAAGCTTTATATTTTAGAAGCTAGAAGACTTTGTATATAGATGCCTTATGTTACGAAGTTTCCGTCTGTCATATGTCCATTGTCCTTGACCTAATTTTTCATGATTCAGTGACTACTTGAAAAAAAAGTCAACATTTTTTGTAATGTTAATTTCTTTCTTATTATGAGTAATAGGATAACTATATTTAGTATGTGCGTACCTTGCAAGGTCCTCATGCCTGTCAGACAATTTTCATTTGACCTCGACCTCATTTCATGGATCAGTGAACAAGGTTAAGTTTTCGTGGTCAAGTCCATATATCAGATACTATAAGCAGTAGGTCTACTATATTTGGTATATGGAATGATTGTAAGGTGTATATGTACAACTGGTAGGTGTCATCTGACCTTGACCTCATTTTCATGGTTCAGTAGTCAAAGTTAAGTTTTTGAGTTTTAGTCTTTTTTTCTAAAACTATATGCAATAGGTCAACTATATTTTATGTATGGAAATATTTTATGATGTACATGTCAGTCTCACAGGTTTTATTTGACCTTGACCTCATTTTCACAGTTCATTTCTCAGTGTTAAGTTTTTGTGTTTTGGTCTGTTTTTCTTCAACTATAAGCAATAGATCAACTATATTTGTTGTATGGAAGGATTATAAGGTGTATATGTCTGTCTGGCAGGTATCATCTGACCTTGACCTCATTTTCATGGTTCATTGGTCAATGTTAAGTTTTCATGGTTAAGTTTGTTTCTTAGATACTATAAGCAATAGGTCAACTATATTTAATGCATACATTGATTGTAAGGTGAACATGTCTGTCTGGCATGGTTCATCTGACCTTGACCTCATTTTCATGGTTCATTGGTGAATGTTAAGTTTTCTTGGTTAAGACTTTTTCTTAGAAACTATAAGCAATAGGTCAACTATGTTTGGATTATTGAATGATTGTAAGGTGTACATGTATTTCTCGTTTGGTTTATCTGACCTTGACCTCATTTTCTTGGATCATGTTAAGTTTATGTGTTACTTGTAGTAAAGCTTTATATTTAGGACTATCAGCATAAAATCAATGGTTAGTAAAGAAGGGGAGACATTTCAGCATGTGCACTCTTGTTTTCATTTTTGCCTATTACCTTGAAAACTATAATAGATAGAGAGAAACTTTATTTTGCCAAAAAAAAAAGCAAGATCAACTAACAAGTCAAATATTGCCGATATAGTTCATAGACTGTCCTCTTTATAGGAGTGATTGCCCTTAAATGAAGATTTTGTTTACCCTCTTTTGTGTTTTGAGCAAAAACTACAGGAGATAAAGAGAAACTAACAGACTAAATGATCAGCAAAACAAGATCAACAAAACAGAGATTTTTGTCATGAATTCTATTCTCGTCTACAATGTTGGAGAGTGTCCTTTGTTGAATATGCACATAGACCAAAGTGAGCGACACAGGCTCTTTAGAGCCTCTAGCTTTAATCTACATGTGTTCAGTGAAATGATAGGGCTATTTTGAAAACTAGCAAGGTTACTTAATATTATTAGCGTTTTGAGTGCATAGTTTCAACATTAAGGCCAGATATCTGGCTGTCATAACTCTGAAGTAACCCTGACACACTGTAACTAAAACAAACAAGATATTAGGTGTTTTTCACAGCCATCCCTTCAATGTAACACAAATATATTGATCTATTGTACTACTGTCTTTTATTTGTAGAACTCATCAATATTTAAACACTTCTTTATATGACAATACTATACAGCTGATGGGTATCATTTAAAAATCCATTCTGTTATGTAGTAGAGAATTGATAAGAAGTAGTGGATTCGTAAACGATAATCAACGAGCGACTTTAGTCGCAAGTTGATTATCGTTTACGAATCCACTACTTCTTATCAATTCTCTAGCTTAACCCATTTCTAGTAAAAAGACTGTCTGTTTTATGTTTTGACAATGAATCAACGGAATTTCATAAAAATGATTTCGTATTTTGTCTTTTTTATTCTATAATAGCTGGAAATGATTATATCCACACGGTTCACGTCTATATTTAAGTTAACATAAGTTTGATATAACTTAAATGGGTTGTTAGCTCCCCTTTTTATTACCAGATTTAATACTTGTATATTTATATTTCATTTAATGTTTTATCATTACAAAGTATTTAAATTATATAGATTTTGGTATATATGATTTATTCAAAAAGACATATGTAAATATACAGAATTTTTTAATCTTTTTTTTGAATAGTTAAAAAAATCTAATTACCAAAATTTAGAAACCTTTCAAATTTACATATATAGTATTGAGCAATCTGTGATTCTTTACAGCTGATTAAGGATTGCCTGCAATTTAACCGTATTAAGTCAAATACATGTATTTAGCGTAGTTGCCATAATACTACAATTTTATGATGCTCCAGTAAATGATGCTTTCCGAAATAAATAAAATAATTGCTGAAGGTCTTTTTTGAAAATTATACATGTATTTTGTTTAAACTGTTTCCCTTTCATTAAGTTTAGATTATTTTAACGTTATTACATTTGGCATCCATCGTAAACCAGTCAATAAACTAGTATTTTCTGTGGTACGCATTCTAAATCTCCAGCATAATTGCTCGTGCTACAGATGTACAATGTATAATTATGTCAATTTTTTACTATTACATTCAAGCTGTTCATAGCCGTGATCGTCTAGTCGTTGGTATCAAAAGACACAACTGTGAAATTAGCAGTGCCAAGTTCAAACCTTGTACCCGAATTGAAATTTTTCATTGCAATTTTTTTCTCGACAAAAATATTGTTTTAATCTTAGAGGTATTATATACTTCATATTCATTTTAAGGCGATGATTTTGTTTCTGGTTTTACAGTCAAGGAAGTAGTTTTAAGGTCGTAGCTTATATATCACACTTTATTCAAATTAGAGTACGTTCAATGTTGACGTGATGTATATTTGGACCATTTATAATCAAACAAAGAAGAAAATATTGATAGTTCGATATCATTATAAGACTAAAACCTTAAGTAAGCATTTGCTATGATGAAAAAGAAAAGGCCTTGTACGTTAAAAGTGACATGTGTAATGGGCATATGGTGGTTTATTTTATCAAGGAACTGTACTAATATATACAATTCCTCGATTCTCTAGTGTTTAGAACTAGTGTGTAATAGCCACAATCGTATAAAGACCCATCGGTTCATTATAACGATGTTGAAAATCGACCAATGTTCAAACCTGACATCGTGAAAAAACTCTTTTTTAAGATATTTCCATACTGCTATATAACTATACTCAAGAACGTTCAAATGTAGAACATAATCGTCCTTAAAAAATAACGCATAAAACAATTTACATAAATTTGAAAAGAACATGAACAAATCCAGACATAGTATAAATATTTTATTTCATAACAAAAGCGAATTATCTCTGAGATAGAAATACAGTTTATTGACATGTATTGACAGTTGTGCGCGTTAAGAGTGTTATTTAAATATTGATTTATGTCAGCACTCGTGGTATAGTGGTATCATCCATAGACTGAAGACTCTACTGATTATGAAGAAAATACGCGCGAGTTCGAACCCTTCATATGCCTCTCGTTTTTGAAAGGATAAAAAATCGTAAGTTAAAAGTTTAAAGTTATAAAATAAGTTATCTTAAGTTAACGAAGTAGTCAGTGGATTCTTGAAAAATAATCTACTGTAAGAACAATAGACTGACGTCAGAGAAATGGGTTAATTTTATGGCATCATCAGAAATAAGTATTCTGCTTCTGTTCGTAATTTTAAAAATACAAGCTTAATTTGAGAAAAGGTAAATTTTAACAAATTTTCTTTTCATTTTCAGGAATTTATAATGAGGGACTCGATGCAAGTTGATAAACCAATTATTGAACCTTTATCAGGAACAGACTTTTTGTCGTCAACAAATTTCCAAGTAGCACAGGATACAACAGAAACCAGAAAAGGCCTGGGAAGTATTTTTAAAACTGATTATCCCCCTTACAATCATTATGGAAGAGATGCACAGGCAGAAAGACCAGTCTTGGCAGAAGTTATGCATAGAGATCAATCATATTTCAAGGTATAACATGGTTGTAATCATATATTTATCTAGTTATGCATAAAAAGGCAGTCATTATAAATTACTGAAAAAATCATCCAATCCAACAACAAAAATTTTAAAAGAATAAATTACATATCATGTTTACTGAAAAACTACTCATTCCATTCTGCCTAAGATTGCCAAAAATATATGAGAAAGCAATCCTACAAAGTATGGCTATATATACATATATCTTGAAGCCCAAAATACACATCATTACCTAAACCTAAAATTAATCTCCAATTTAACAACATGCATATAAAGCAAAAAAATACTTGTGATGATGGCAGTCATCTAGTTTATCAAAACTATCCTACTATCATAAATTTTTAACTTGCATCCAGAGATCTCCATTTGTAGGATTATCAGTTCAACTTCTAGCAGAGACAGGAAAAAATGGCTGCTCACTGTACTCACTTGAAGCAAATTCTTAGAACTCTGCATATGGTTTTCAAAAATAAACAATATGTACTCCTGGTTCGCGAATTTTCTTGGTGGCAAAACTGTGTTTAACAATTGTAATTTTCATTCTACATTTTAATTTTTTTTCTTCAACTTTTTGATATGAAGATATAAAATGAGAAATTACTGATGTAGCAATTTACATTGAATTTACATTTGTTATAGCGCACAATTTATGGTTATTTCAAGTTGTTTAAAAGAAATTGATTCAAGTGATCAAAATTTCTTATTTATCATGTAGTATTTTAACATGTTCAATGCAAAAAAATACAGTAGAAAATCAAAACATCTTAAATCTCATAAAAACTACTTATCTCAGAAATTTATTGTTGGTAACAAGGGACATTACTCAAATTAACACATAATTAAATCTTACTTCAATACATGTATATGTCAAATGATTTTTTTTATATTTTTATTGCTTGTAGGGTGATCAATCTGAAAGTACTAAAGCCTATGAATATCGTTACTTAAAAAAACCTGTTGTAACAGACTCTTACCAAACTTTGAGAGCAACAAATTTCAAGACTGATAGAGATTTAAACAAGGTGGATGTTTTTGGAACTATGCATAATCATTACTTTATCCCTAAAGTCAATAACGATTATCAGCGTATTGGACCTGCCACAAATACTCACCAAAGTCATATACCAAATGGAGATCCTGACAAAATTACTCAACCATGGTCTGACTATAATGATAAGTTCAGAGGTCATGACACATCTGTGGTTAAAGTTTTCAGAGCACCCTCAATGCACGAAGGTAAGATTAATTGGAAAAGAAAATATTGACTGCAGATTTTTAATAACCTTTTGTCTGTTTGATATTTTTCTCAATTTAACAACCAAGAACAATTTCTAAATTCTGAAATTGATTGAAAAATTGTTGTAAGATGCAGTTTGTTGAAATGATTTTCAGTGTATATTAAAAAAAAATTATTCATTGAAACATACCTGAAAGTAAATAGGATATAGGAAATAAAAAAAACATTGTCTGATGACTGATTAATCTCAGTTATATATTATTTCATATTTTAGTTGCAGAAATATTGAATGTTTGATCAAATAGCATCTATACAACTTGGTCAAAATTTATTTTTATAGGAAAGTCATGTAATTGTAAACATGGCAATAATGCATCAAGCCTATGTGCTACTCAATCATATTGGTTGATTTTGAGATACAAATGTAATTTTAAAAAATATATCCAAAACTTTTTTTTATCTGTTCTTGCTAAACAAATAAAAACAAGAATGTGTCCATAGTACACGGATGCCCGACTCGCACTATCATTTTTATGTTCAATGGACCCTGAAATTGGGGTCTAAACTCTTAATTTGGCATTAAAATTAGAAAGATCATATCAAAGGGAACATGTGTACTAAGTTTCAAGTTGATTGGACTTTAACTTCATCAAAAACTACCTTGACCAAAAACTTTAACCTGAAGCGGGACTGACAGACGAACGGATGCACAGACCAGAAAACATAATGCCCCTACTACTATCGTAGGTGGGGGCATAAAAATCTAGCATTCACAACCTAAACCTAAATACACACACAAATATTACTTAAATTAGATGTACAATTACATTTATTAACTTTATTATTACAGAAAAGTTGTTTTTACTTAATTTCAGGAGGTCCACCAACAGTAAAAGGAGATGAAAGATTGTCAAATTTCAACACGACGCACAATTTGATGTTCCCTGATAAATCCCAGCCAAGAGTTAAATCATTATCTGCTGTAAGTGTCATACATATAAAGAATGGACATGGTTGTCAAAATTAAACACATAGTAATGTCAGATATTTTATCAAAAAGTTTGTCTTTACAAATAAAAGTTGATTCAAAATTGCTAACTCAAGATATCTTAAGTGTACTCAATGATAATTAAAAAAGAAAAATAAAAAAAAACCAAAGATCTAAATATACAGTGAAAGAATTTGAAGACTAAGTATGTTCTTTTTGTTATGTTAACAGTTATTTGCATGTAAACCATAAGATGTATCAATGTTCACCATATGATGTATTGTCTTTCTATGATCAGCTGTCATCCCTTTGGTTAGATCTTAAATCAAAGAGGTACTGACAATGTTTTGATATAACATATCTTTTTAATCTCTCCATATTACATAACAGAAAAGTAGTTACTTCAGTTCAAAGAATCTTCATGTAGGAATTTATTTAAAAGAAAAATTAAAATGAGTACATCAGTAGTATTTTTTGTTTATGAATAACAACAAAATAAATGTACATTAATAATTTACTGTTCCTGTTCAAATGCTGTGTCTATAAACACTGGCATAAATAATTAAATTAATTAATACTTACTAAAGCTCAGAACTGCATACAATAACATATTTTCGAACCTCTGGTAAATTAATGACAATGTGATTGGTTTAAAACAGTCACATGGTGACCCCATATGGGGTCAGTAGATTTCATAGGCGTATCATGATGTTGCATCTGCTATTATTGTTATTGTATTTCGTTGTTTATTTTTATACAAAGCTTGACAGGAAAAGTCCTGTGTGCTATAATTTTGTTTAAATATACTGTTTGCTACTGACCCCTATTCATAGAGGGTTAGTTAAATCCATAGGGGATCCAGCATTTGGCCTCACCCCCATGGATTTTACTAACCCTCTATTGGTCCGTAGAGGGTCAGTAGCAAACCATATAACTTATAATGTGAGATACTCAAATTTAAAGTTAATTGGTCTCACAATAGTCATGCTTCATTATAGCCCACTGGTACAAATGTACCTAAAGGAGATCCTGATAAAGTATTACAGAGAGACACAACAATGAAAGAATCATACAACGACCTTACAAACCAACACAAACACAATCCTTACTTAAAGTCTGAAGTCAGTGGAGTATTGCGAAGAACTAATTTCCAGTCAGAAGATTGTTACAAAGAAAATGATTACTTCAGCACTGCAATTAGATCATATCAACCTACATCTGTACCAGGTTTGTTAAACTAGCTCATTTAAACTTGTATTAAGTTAGATGTGGTTTTGTTTCATTTTTGTCGAGCCTGCCAGTTTTGTCGCAAATGCGAGACATAGCGATCCTACATTCCGTTGGTGGCGGCGGCGTCCACAAATATTCACTCTGTGGTCAAAGTTTTTGTAATTTTAATAACTTTCTTAAACTATCCTGCATTTCAGCCAAACTTGGACAGAAGCTTGTTTATGATCATAAGATAGTATCCAGAAGTAAATTTTGTAAAAAAAAAATCCTGTTTATCCGTATTTTACTCATAAATGGACTTAGTTTTTCTGCCAGTTAACATTACATTCACTCTGTGGTAAAAGTTTTTCAAATTTTAATAACTTTCTTAAACTATCCTAGATTTGTACCAAACTTGGACAGAAGCTTGTTTATAATCATAAGATAGTATCCAGAAGGAAATTTTGTAAAAAAAAAAAATCCTGTTTATCCGTATTTTACTCATATATGGACTTAGTTTTTCTGCCAGTTAACATAACATTCACTCTGTGGTTAAAGTTTTTCAAATTTTAATAACTTTCTTAAACTATCCTGGATTTGTACCACACTTGGACAGAAGCTAGTTTATGATCAAAAGCTAGTATCTAGAAGGAAATTTTGTAAAAATTTATTTCCTGTTTTTCCGTATATTACTTATAAATGGACTTAGTTTTATTCCAGTTCACATTACGTACAGTCTGCAGTTAAAGTTTTTAAAACATTTATTAGATTCATAGACCTTCTTGGATTTTTACCAAACTTGAACAGAACTTCTTACAATCAAAAGATGGTATCTAAAGGAAAATTTTTAATAATTTTTTCCCCATTTTTGTTGAGCCTGCGACTAACAGCAAAAGTAGGTGAGACACTGGGTTCCGCGGAACCCTTACGAATTTTTATAGTAATGCAATCATGAGAGATTTATAATTGCCATGTATAGGTACAGTAACTGTAGTGTAGGAAGTTTCAGGGTTTGGAAATTATTTCATTCTAATCATTTGTTTTTCATACCCTCGCAGCAAATGAGGGAGTATACTGATTAATGTATATCTTCCATCCCTGTTTCCGTAGGTCCTATTAAACTTTTGTCACGTTTTTCTCAGAAACTACAAATGAAAGCTTTCTGCATTTGGTAGCAAGCTTTATGTCAGTATATGCTATAATGAGTGATGCTTTTTTACATTCATTCCTAATCAACTTTCTGTTTAAAGATTACTTATATATTCTTACACATAATTGCCATGTATGAACTTTTAAATCACATTTTTCTAAGGAACTACAGATCAAGGCTTTCTGAAATTTTGATTCAACGTTCAAATGAGCATGCTATACTGTGTGTAGCATTTCAAAATCACCACTCTTCATCTTCCTGCTTTAAGCACAGTTGTCATAATACAAGTAAAAGAAAGATAACCCCATTATTGAAGTAAAAACAAACAACAAACAAAACTGATCTTTGACAGGAGCAAGTTTACATAATATAATCTTATAGAAAACATATTGTAGTTGACAGATATAAGCCAATTAAACACAGAAATCACAGTGATTTTCCACCAGGGGATATGGAGAATAGTAGAGTTCTAGAGAGAGTTAATACCACCACTGCCAGGGTGTACCATGGAAATGTAAATATTATTTTATAGTGAACTTACAGATCAAGCTTTAATGAAGCTTTAACTCTAACAGAAAAACTCAATTATAACTATCGGTACATAATTCAATATTTTCATCACTTGAAAATAATATTGTAGTAAACATTTTTGTAGGTTTTAAGATTTTAAACACATGGTATTATCAATTCGCAAAAGAAAAAATCCTCTCAAAACACCTTTAAAGGGGTGTTATTATATATGTAAGCCCCCTCCCCTAAATATGCCTCTGATTACTTTTCAATCTTATGAATTTCTCTGGAATGAGTCCAAATGTTGGCAGATAATGAAACATTTTTCTGATTCATCTAGGAAAGGGTTCTTCTTAATAAACCTTAAAGTTATTCGCAATGAGTAGCTAGATAAGTGAATTTCAGTTCAATGTTATACAATATCATTCAAATTTAATCAAAACCTGATGTTGTGTCATCTTTGTATGTACATCAACGCTTTTAGAATGTACAGTTCTCTTTTAGGTGAGATTGGCTTTTGTATTGCATATTCAAGACATTTATAAACACATGGTAAATGTTAATAAGAATATTTCATTTCATTTTAGCCACCATTGGGAATCCACAACACTATAATATCTGGTGCTAACCTTCGTACAAAGAGTAAGGTATCCTTTGGGGAGCCTCAGCTGAACAGAAGTTTTTATGATACAACAAACTGTGACACATTCAAAGGAGTAAAAGTACCATACACCTACGATAGAACTAAATTCCACAAGGAGAGTAGCATCCCTGTCAATTACTATAGTAGTAAGTTTAATATATTTTTGTACCTGTCTAATTCTATTATGAATCAACTAATAAACCTCATTTCATTTGAGTATGAATATAATATATTATTGAAAAACAAAGGATATGGGGTATCCATCCATGACACAAAATCAGTACATGCACAGCAACAAAAAAACCGGAACAAAAAAATAAACAAACACACACACACACAAATATAAACTATTGACTTCCGTTTCTTATTACATTGGTTATAATTTTGGATGTCAATGAGTACTTGAATACTCCAGTATACCTTGATAGTACGGTGTATTGAATACCAAAATGATACTCCACTTATCGGTTTCCTGTGAGGACATTGTCCATGTCAATTCTTAAATTTGATTTTTTGTATGCTTTAAAGAGTATACACAGACCATTTTTACTGTTTGTTTTCAGAAGAAGAAAAAGACCATTCCTCCTCCTTCACAGACTACAGAGATCCAGTACAGGCTAAGATGATTCCCCACAACACGGCACTTAATAATGTATGTTAATAAATGTGTTAAAAATCAGGCTAAAAGTCACAACAGTCATAAATAATGTATGTTGATATATTATAAATAGGTGTACTCATACTAAAAATCATTGTAAAATAATGTACTTCATTCAAAGGCTTTGCTTATTGACATGCAAATTTGTTTTTCAAAGCTGTAGTTCCAATTTATCTCTTCAAACTGATTAACTGGGAAAAATTTTAGCTCACTAATGTTATTAAAGGTTGTTAGTATGAAGCAGTTTAGTGCAATAACAAATGTTCTTACAAAGTTGAGGCCATCATGGTCAAAAAGAATAAAGTATTTCAACTTGAACTTGAGGAAAATAGTTCACCTACTTTTATGGTGATGTATTAGTTGAGTTGACAAATGTATTAGATAAAAATAATCAAATTTACATGCCCCTCAGTTTTGTGTGTGTTTTCTAGTATTATATTTAACTTTGAACTTTTTTTTCCATAATCTTTCAGTTGAAGATGTCACATATATTACCTCCCCTGAGTGGACCACAACGCCACAACACAACACATCAGGTAATGTTTACACCAAAAGAATCTGAAAAGTATTCCTATGATTCTGGTAGATTACAACGCAGTTCTGTTCCTCTGGGTACAATGACTTGTCAATGATTCCTGGCGTAGATTACAGCAAAGATCTGCTTCGCCTGGTACAAAGTCCTGTCTTGATTCTACCGATAATCTTCATTTTTTGCTTATAGTGAGAAACAGTTGATTGCTTTAAGGATGAGATATGTTTTGAAATTTATATGAAATCATTATCTGTACATGTAAAATTAAGACAGATAAACTTGTTTATGCATATTTCTTGCTGTGTATATCATTGTTAAACAATTACCGTGAAATCAATTTTCTTGCCAGTGATCAGTTATATTTTCATTAAGTCCGGAGCTGTTTTAAAAAATGAAAGAAGAAGGTGAAATCAAAATTTTTCAGATGAAGTATTGGTCAAATCTACGGTCAAGTCATCTGAAGCGAGTGTTGGAAAATGTCTAGAAATCTTTGTTTAAAATTTAAATTGAACTGACCACCTGACAAGGAAAATTTGTTTACCGTTACATATGAATGGTTTCTGTTGTATTAAGAATTTTTTTTTCACAAGAATTATCATATAAATTAAAATTTACATTAAAGATGTAGCGATAGCTAAAAATGTTTTTTTACGATTCTGAATTTATTCCATTGCTTATCTAAACACTTTTTTAGTTCAGGGCATTGTTGTAATGTTAAGTTTGTGAAATTTTATTCTTTGTTGTTTATAAAAAAAATAATGTATTATCATAATATAACTTGGACAATTTTTACCTGATTATTTGAATGAACCATCCAGTAGACATTTACGGATAACAAGTTTTATTTTAGGGAAAGTTAAAAATGATTACATTTCCCTATATAGATTGTTACAAATAGTAATTTTCATGAATATTCCCCATAAAGTTCTTTTTGAGAATTAGATGTGATATTGTATATAATTAGTAACAACTTTTTTACTTTAGCTCTGAGTTTATTGACTTAAAAAAAACTTTTTATTGACAAATTTCTATTTTGTTTTTCTATTGCTTGTTGAATAATACTTTGTAATAACAAAATCTTGCCATGAGAGATATTTTTATTTTATTTTTTAAGACTAAATAATATAGTTAGGAATGTCTTGTTAAAATGATCTTGTAGATAATTGAGAAAAAAGGTGATTGTTGAAAGGGAAATAAGTGATTAGACAATTGTGTGGCCTATTTAATTCAAGCATCAATCAATCATGAAACATTGATATACAAGATACATCATGTGTCAGTAATTTGCTCAAATATTGTCTTACATAGTTTTTATGTCTCTAAACTTCTTTAATTTAAAGGGAAATTGTCTCATTTTGAGATCTTTCTAATGTACAAAAGCCTTACCCCAAAAACAAGTTTTATCATAGGAAGTCAAAGATGTTAATGTGAGTCAGACATCTTTTGAGTTGAGGTTAAATTTTTGGTCAGAAATGTCAATTTTGACATGATTATAATGTCATTGGTATTAGAATTGACATTTCTGCACTTTAATAACCTGACAGTATCATCCTATCAATTTGTCAATTCAATTAACAGCATTTTAAAAAATTGAAAAATTAATTATGGCTGCAATTTTTTAGGGACCAAATAGTGGTCTTATTCTTCCTTTTAAAGAAAAGAAGCCAAATGTATATAGTGCTAAAGGAAATTACACAATTGTATCTTTATTTGAGATTTTTCATTTAAGAGGAAAATGAAAAAAAAGGAATTTGTTAAACTTGCTCCAGCTCAACTTTATTCCATTACATTGCTCATTTTGCCATAAAATTTTAATTACTTTGTCAGAGGAAAATAATTTTTTTTTTTTTTAAATTAAGTTTTATGCATTTACTGTAAGTAAAATTGTTTTAGTTTGTTCAAACCCTAAATTTTTCCTAGTTTTCTTAACTTTTGATTATCTACCATTAAATTAAATATTTTTGTTGTGTTGTATGCATTTTATCAATAGAATTTTTGTCTCATGTTTCATAGATAGTTTTCTACATGTTTTTTTCAACAGATTCACTGTTGTAAATCAATGATTATTAAGTGCCAAATTCTGTACTATATTTAGTGTTGGTGTTCTAGGGTTTTGTTTCGGTGGAGGGGTGTTTTACTAATTTCACTGTCTAATACTTCATGCAGTTGATTTTATTTTGAACTAATGAGCACCAAATTAACTTATTTTAATTTGATAATTTATGTTGATTTATCAGATCTTAAATTAGAACAAAAATCAGACAGAAAGTATCATAAATTTTATTGGTAACTATTTCTGGTTCAGACAGATTTTTTTTTACCCTTTATTTCTTTCTCGATATAAATTTATTTTTTAAGAAATTGATGACAGAGAATTGCATATTCTATCAAAAGATGAAAATTTAATTAAAGTTTGTAAGGATAATATATATTAAACCAGTCTGCAGTGAAAGTGTAATATAAAATATCAGTCTGCAGTGGGAGTGCAGTATGTTAACCAGTCTGGTATGGTAATGTAGCTTGTTAAACTAGTCTGCAGTGGTAGTTTAGTTTATTAAACCAGTATGGAGTGGTAGTTTAGTTTGTTAAACCAGTCATTCTGGAGTGGTAGTTTAGTTTGTTCAACCAGTCAGTCTGCAGTGGCAGTATAGATTGTCAAACTAGTCTGGAGGTGTTGTTTTGTTTGTTAAACCAGTCTGCTGTGGTAGTTTAGTTTGTTTGACCAGTCTGCAGTGATAGTATAGCTTGTTAAACCAATCTACAGTTGTAGGGGAGCTGGTTAAACCAGACGACAGTGGAAGTGTTGTATGTTAAATAGTCTGCAGTGGTAAAAGTAGTATGTCAAGTATTATGTAGTGGTATTGGAGTTAGTTAAAAGATTTCTGCAGTGGTTTTTGGTAATGGACTATGATGTTCGAGTCTGCAGTGATACTATAGTATGATAGAAGTGTGTAAGATGAACAAGTTTTTGGTTAGAGTGTGGTACTATCTGCAGTGGTAGTTTAGTATGTTAAATTGGTATAGATGTAGTATAATCCATTATTATGTGTAATGAAAATTTAACAGCATTTGTGTATGATCAATTAGGAGTTTAAATAGGAAAATAACTTTACAATATATTACACGGTAATTGGTTTGATATAGAATTACTACTAATAGGCAAATTTGTTTATATTCATTCATGTTTGAGTGTTAACTGTGGAGTACATGTATATGGCTAATTTTCATTTATATAAAACTATGTTTATACTCCAATCAATTAGACAGAAATATTAACATGAAAATTATACAATAATAGTTCTATCTAGATTATAACCTTTAAATTTGATATTTGTCAACTAAATGGAAATGTGCTCATAGGCTGCGCAGAGTGGTAAAATTCACATTTTTAGGTGGGAACCATTCCAGGGAACAGCTGGGTTGGCCTTGAAAAATTCATGACAGCTGTTTCAGGTAAATTTGTATTAGAAGACCAAAAAAATGTGGAATAAATTATAACACATATGCATACTGCTAGAACCTTACATTTGTGAAGAAGTTGAATCATGTTTTCTAGTTTTATTTTTTTTTTTTTTCATTTGAATTGTTATTAAAATGTATTATACTTGTACATATAGTATTTATTATGTTACATTGTTGCACAGTATTATAAATTTATTTTTATATCAAATATTTATTACTTTAATCAAAATATATAATGGTAATCATTTTTATGCATTTTGTACTGACTGGTTATGCAATTTACGGAATCATTTATATTATGTGAATTTGTGTTCTTCATTATTATGTATTTTGTAAATTGTTATTTTTTTAGTCAGGAAAACCTGCCCGACTCAGAGTTCCTAACCAACAGACTTTTCTCTGTAAATACTTGATCATTAAGGAGAGACACACAATCTTTTAAACATAATGGTGCCATGGTTGCCCCCACTAGTCCATTTACTCTTGCCAAGAAACTTCAATTTAAGTTCTCCTTGATATGAATTAAACACATTTTAAATGAAATGCTCAAAATCCTAAACATTTTACAAAATACATAAAATCTCTTGGTGCACATTAATATTGTTTTGCTGTGGTTTGAGGTGCAATAATACACAATTGTGATTTTTATATGTGTTTTATCAACATCCCTGTATCAGTATTAAGTTTTTTTTAATTGATTTTATCTAATATATTTATACATTTTGATAATTTTAATATATTATAAAACATTATTTATTTTTTACAATCAGTCCTGTGGTGTTCATTTTACTGGTAGATTTATCTGTATTGAAAGATTGTCTTTTAAAAGGAGACATGCTTTTATGGTGTAATGAGACTTGCTTTTATGGTGTAATGAGACTTGCTTTTACGGTGTAATGAGACTTGCTTTTACGGTGTATCTTTTTTATTGGAATATTTAACAGTGAAAAAATATTTATATATGTTTTAAATTTTGATCTAGGAAGATTGAAAGCTGTTGTAAAAGTTTATTTTATTTCAGATTTCTTATTGATTTTAAATTAATTTGGAGTGTGGAAAAATGCAAGTGATTTTATAATGGAGTTTATTTTAATACAGAAGGCATTGTAAGTTTTTAAAAGATAATAAAATCATAGAGGTTTGTAAGTTTATATTTAACTGATTTTGAGTGTTTGATGTCTTGTTTTGAAATAAAATTGTTTTTACTGTTTTAAAGTTTATAATTTGTTATTTATTTTCTGTCTAAAGGTTTCTTAACAAGCATTCAAAAGAAGGCGTGGTTTATTATAAGTTATCTACGTTCATATCCGTAGATAACGAATTTATCCCCGGTCTTAGTCCAAATCTGTCGATTTTCAGAGAAATTCAACCACAAAGTGTAACGTGACAGCAACGTTTTTTTTTCATTTTCTAAAAATCTTTTATTGAAATTTGGGAATTTGACATATATTTTACTGGGTGTAGGGTACTACCTTTGGTAGAACCCTACAGGTAGTCAAATATAAGACGTTTTTAATACGGAGACAGAGAAACTGGAGTGGGTCGAATTTGGCACTCAATGTTGAGAGAGTTACATCATAGACGGTGTGACGTCAACGTGGGTCATTTGCATAGCTAGGTCAGTAGTCCCATTCATAGACAATGTGGCAGCCAAGTGATGCATTTACTAAAATGAGTGCAAATGATCGACAAAATAAGATAACATCGTTAGTAGATTAAATATTTAATTACAGACATCATGAATAATCTACAGAATTCTATGATTCAATAACCATGGAGCTAAGGAAAACGCGCGTGACATCCCCCGGGGTAATGGATAGCAACGTCCGGGTATATGGGTTGGCAACACCCAGGGGCTATGGGTTTTGTAACGACGTGCGTTATCCAATCAAAATCCTAGAAATATACTAAGCCAGGGATAATATGTTTTGATCCACCCATAGATGGATTCATCCTTAGTCACTCGTTGAATAGTACCAAAGTTACCTCTCGTGTTTTGTAAAATAATTATAAAGGTAATAAGTCTTTTAACATTATTTTTCATGTTTAAATATTTAGGAATATGATAATACTATTCTGGTGTTCAGGCAATAAACTCAAAAAAGTCTAGTTGCTGGTCAACACTGAAATTTCAAAACTTTTGACACACCAGTTTTTCATGAATAAATGTGCTTTATTCATATGTTTAATGAAATTCTGTTTGAATATAACGAACCTACTTCCATTGGTCTAAACAAAAACAAATGCCAACAATAACAACTTGTTAGCTGTTAATGTGTTTTCTGCATTTATTTCAATCATTATTCATCAATTTCATCGTTTGTTGAAACGTTTCAGATTTTTCCTCAACGTCGTGTTGTTTTTATAAAGGGATGTAACACCACTACTAACCGCGTATTGAAATAAGCCACGCCTACTAACCCCATATGAAATATACATGGTCTCCACGCGGTAGCTTTTTACCAATGATATTCCTAGAAATGTATAGGAGGTAAGATGAAATAACACACGGTAACCATGACAAATTCATACAAAACAAGTTATAGTTTTAACTGGATGCTGTTATAATGTCCCTTAGAACCCAATTAAACAAATTTACTCCTGGGGACTCCCACTATATATGATTCGTAGCATCTTGACATGGATGTGGATCTCAACAACTTTCAAGGTATTTGAACATTCTCAAATGGCAGTGATATTGATGCAGCTAGGAGGGACTCCCCTATCATTGTTCAATGCATCATGACATGTCAAACACGTTAATATATGGTTTGAGATTATGAGTGGTGATCTCAACCATTTTCAAGATTTTTGTACATCCTCAAAAAGCAGGAATTTGGGGATGACCCCTAGGGCTAAAGACTATAAATCATTCAATGCATCTCCTCATGCCATACAAAACAAATATGGTTTATGGTGGGGATATCAACCATATTCAATATATTGAGACAGTCTCAAATGGCAGGGGTGGGGATGACACTTGTAGAATCAGCCTTTATTTCATTTGATTTGTCTAGTGATGAACATTTTCCTTTCATAAATTTTCCTATATCTATTACATTTTGTGTACTTGATGAAAAAAAATATGTTCCAAGGTCAAAGGTTAAGGACCTATGACCACTGACTTACCATCATTTTGTATCTGTCGTCCGGAAACTTTTCTTTGAAAATCTTCTTCTCTGAAAGTGCTCTATGGATTGAAACTAATGTTATTATGCTACATTCATAGGAAGTCAACTATGAAGTGGGTGATATTCGTCCAGGTTGATGAACCAACATGGCCTTCACGTCTGAAAATAGAGCATAGAGGTCAAACTACATTTATGGCATATATCTGTAAAACTACAGTATTTAGAGAGAAACTGATATAGGTGTAAATGGCTAACGCAACAAATTCTATCTACCATGACAATTTCGGAAAAATATGTCCACCTGTTTTTGAAGTTATTGCCCCTGAAATGTAGATTTTAAACTTTTTTGGCATTCCCTTGTCATTGCATCAAAAACATGTAAACTTTAAAAGGTTCAGCACAGGATGTTATTGGCTGTTATCATGAAAAAAAAACCAAAAATTATCAGTACATGATATATATACACCGAAAATTTCAGAAAATCTGTCTACCCGGTTTTTTTTTAGTTATTGCCCCTGAAATATACATTTTTCACATTTTTTTTTTTTTGCTGCTTGTTATTTTTAAAACTATAGTAGCTAGGTTTAAAGTTGAAACTGCAAAAATGATCAGCACGACAAGATATATCTCTCCTGAAATGTTAATTTTTTTTTCTGTTTTGGCTAATATCTATAGAAGCGAGTTTAACATGTTAATTGCAAAAACGATTAGCAACACAAAGAGTAACTATAGTATGTGCATATAAAAGTTCTTATTGGCAAACTAGCGATTTTTCACGAGGTGACTGATACAAGCACAGGTGTGCCTCATGTTTACGTCATTTGTTTCAAGGATCATTACTGAAGACCCCAAGTCTTTTACTGTTCTCAAGTTAAAACCATTTTAACATGACAATATTTTCCCTTGCATTCTATAATAAACCACAACCTCCTTCTGCAATGACCGAGCTGTCAGTTTGGTTTTCGAATTTTGAGTTTGAACATTCCTATAGTATCTTTCGCCTCTATTTTGATATACCTCAATGCACAAACAAAAATAAACTGCTTCGCTAAGCACATCTGGATACGCCCGCAGAGGTCCAACCCTGAAAAGTTGGAGCAAAAATGGACAAAATATTCAAGCTTGATACATGTCTGAATTTGGGTTGTAATTAAATATTTGACATATTAAAGGTTTCTGAATAAATGTAGTCAAAGAACTTGAAATTGGTTATATGAATTGAATTTATATTCAATTAAAGATTTCTTGCTGTTGTGCAATACACTGTGCTGTTGCGCAATACTAAGTAAATCTGTTGTCAGACTTTAAACAAATAAACGGTTCAATTTCTTCTCAATGTCATATTTGAAAGTTATGAAAATCAATAGGGAGATTACATCAATAGCTATAAATAATTCACGAAAGTTTCATGAGAACTGATGAAAGCATTTTTGAGTTATTGTCGAAAAACTGGAAAATCCCCCCTTTTTTGATGAATAAAACCCCATAACTCAGAAATGTAAAATCTAAAATTTATAAAATTCTAAAGGGAGCTCACATCAACAGATATAAACAATTCACCAAGGTTTCATGAGAACTGCTGAAAGCATTTTTTAGTTATTGTCCGAAAACTGGAAAATCCCCCTTTTTAGCTCACCTAGCCCCAAGGGCCAAGTGAGCTTTTCTCATCACTTGGCGTCCGTCGTCCGTCGTCCTGCGTCCTGCGTCCGTCGTCCGTAAACTTTTACAAAAATCTTCTCCTCTGAAACTACTGGGCCAAATTTGACCAAACTTGGCCACAATCATCATTGGGGTATCTAGTTTAAAAAATGTGTCCGGTGACCCGGCCAACCAACCAAGATGGCCGCCATGGCTAAAAATAGAACATGGGGGTAAAATGTAGATTTTGGCTTATATCTCTGAAACCAAAGCATTTAGAGCAAATCTGACATAGGGTAAAATTGTTTATCAGGTCAAGATCTATCTGCCCTGAAATTTTCAGATGAATCGGACAACCCGTTGTTGGGTTGCTGCCCCTGAATTGGTAATTTTAAGGAAATTTTGCCGTTTTTGGTTATTATCTTGAATATTATTATAGATAGAGATAAACTGTAAACAGCAATAATGCTCAGCAAAGTAAGATCTACAAATAAGTCAAACTTGACCAAAATGGTCAGTTGATCCCTTAAGGAGTTATTGCCCTTTATAGTCAATTTTTAATCATTTTTCGTAAATTTTTGTTCTTTCACAAAATTCTTCTCCTCTGAAACTACTTAGACAAATTTAACCAAACTTGTCCACAATCATCATTAGGGTATCTGGTTTAAAAAATGTGTCCGATGACCCCGCCCGCGAACTAAGATGGCCGACATGGCTAAAAATAGTACATAGGGTAAAATGCAGTTTTTGGCTCATATCTCTGAAACCAAAGCATTTAGAGCAAATTTGACGGGATAAAATTGTTCATTAGGTCAAGATCTATCTGCCCTGAAATTTTCAGACCAATCAGGCAACACGTTGTTGGGTTGCTGCCCCTGAATTTGTAATTTTAAGAAAATTTTGCAGCTTTTGGTTATTATCTTGAATAATATTATAGATAGAGATAAACTGTAAACAGCAATAATGTACAGCAAAGTAAGATCTACAAATAAGTCAACATGACCAAAATTGTCAATTGACCCCTTAAAGAGTTATTGCCCTTTATAGTCAATTTTTTACAATTTTCATAAATTTTGTAAATTTTTGTAAATTTTTACAAAATATTTTCCACTGTAACTACTGGGCCAAGTTCATTATAGATAGAGATAATAGTAAGGAGCAAGAATGTTCAGTAAAGTAAGGTCTACAAACACATCACCATCACCAAAACACAATTTTGTCATGAATCCATCTGCGTCCTTTGTTTAATATGCACATAGACCAAGGTGAGCGACACAGGCTCTTTAGAGCCTCTAGTTTTATGAATAAAACCCTGTAACTCGGAAACGGTAAATCTGAAATTTATAAAAAACGAAAGGGAGCTCACATCAATAGATATAAACAATTCAATAAAGTTTCATGCATATTGGTTAAAGCGTTTTTGAGTTGATGTCCGACATGTTGACG